GAAGAAGAAAGAATTAATAAATGAAAGAAAAAGAGGATAATCACGATGATGGATGGCCTGGTGTGTTATATGACTTGACTTCTGACTTTCTTCCTCTTGCTTATTAGAGAGGCAACCCTACCGTGTATTATGTATTACCTGTTAGTTATTAATACCGATCTTCTTTCTCTGCGGGGCGGGACAACGTTGCTCCATTGGAGGAGACCAGAGAAACTTATCCAGAGCTCCCAACTAAACTTAGCAAGTCACTCACTATTCAAGCCTAGCAAAACTACTGCATGCAGAACGCGTCCGGCTCTGATAATCTCTTCTCCTCCTCCTCTTCCCTCCCCTTCAAGACGACCCTCTACCCCGTCAATCTGCACGCCAGGCAGCAGGACAACCGGCTACGACCTATCCCGTAACATCTCCCACGCCCAATCACACATCAGCGGACGTCAATCACGCGCGCGGCGGCCGTCCCCAACAAGGGAGGACCCATCATGTCTCTGTTCGGGGGATCGACCTTTGGACAGAGCTCAGCTCCCGCCGGGGGCTCGAGCCTGTTTGGTGGACAGAGTAAGCCGGCGACGACCGGCGGCGGACTCTTTAGCCAGAGCCAGCCGCAGAACAGCACGGCCCAGCCGGCCACCGGCGCTTCAGGCCTCTTCGGTCAGAGCACACAGCAGAACGCGACCCAGCAGGGGACCGGCGCTGGTGGTGGTCTGTTTGGGCAGCAGCAGCAGCAGACGGGGGCTGGCGGCGGCCTCTTCGGTCAGAATCAGCAGAGCCAGGGAACCTCATCCGGAGGCGGTGGTCTCTTCGGCGGTGCGCAGAATCAGCAGCAGCAGCAGCAAGGGTCCGGAGGCGGCGGCCTCTTTGGCGGTCTGGGAGGTGGCCTGGGAGGCGGTCCATCTTCGGCCACGACCAGCGGCAACCTGCAGCAGCAGCCTGCGCCCGGAGGCACCTCGCTCTTCGGCGGCAGCCTGCTAGCTTCTACCGCTCCCCAGGGCGGCGGCAGCTACCAGCAACCCCAGCCAGGCCGGAGCCTGTTCGAATCGCGACCTCAGAACGGCACCTCGGATGCCCAGCAGCCCGCGGGCGCCTACTTTGACAGCCTCCTGGCCAAGAGTCAGAGGGCCGGTGAGTCCAAGGCCAGCATGTCGGACCTGCCGAGCCTGGAGCTGGGCCTGGGTGACCTGCGCCACCGCCTGCGCAAGCTGCAGTCCAAGCCGAGCGAGAAGCCTCTCGACGGCAAGGCTCACTACCTCCTCGCCGCGTCGGGTGTCGACCCCCGCGCGGCCGTGACGGACCTGGGCTTGATCGACGTCCAGGGCCCCCGCGTCGACCGCTCGGCAGCGCACGCCGGGTACGCCCCCAGCGAGGTCGACGTCGAGACGTACCTCTCCAACCTGCAGACCAAGACGACGCTCAACATGATTGCCGACGGCCTCGAACGATCGGTCCGCGACTTCGACAACTTCCTCGAGGACAACGTCACCATGGAGTGGGAGGCCCAGCGCAAGCGCGTCTACCAGCACTTCGGCATCAACCCGGCCGGCGACGACTCGTCCCCCCCCGGCCACACCGCCCGCGAGTCCCAGGGCGCCTTTGGCCGCTCGCGCCGCAGCAAGACGGCCGCCCAGGCTGGCAGCACGGCCAGGCTGGCCGGCGCCCGCGGCAGCGTGTTTGGCAGGTCCATGGCCCGGTCCGTCATCGGCACGCCCAGCCGGATCGGCACCCACCAGACCGAGTTTGCCGATGTCGAGCGTTCGGGCGGCGACGGCGGCGCCAAGACCGGCCGACGTGGAGCCGGCGCCGACGACAGGGTGCTGCGCGACAGGCAGGCCAAGCTCGCCGAGAAGGTGCGCACCCTCAACGCAGCGCGTCTGACCGGCCGGCCGTACCCCATCCTCTCGGAGCTAGCCGAGGTAGAGAAGAGGTCCAACGAGCCCCACGCCGTGCACGTGCACGAGGCGTACCTGGCCATGATCGACATCGTGGGCGAGGACCCCGACGCGGAGACGACGCTCAACGGCGCGACGGCCAGGGAGCGCCAGTACGCGTCCTTGTACCTCGACGACAACGCCAACTCGCAAAACGCCCTCGAGATGAAGCGGCGGATCCTGTCGGGGGCCAACCGGTTCCTCGAGAGGCAGTTCCTGCGCGAGGTCGAGTCGCTCATCGCCAAGCACCCGCACGAGGCCAAGCTGGGCGGCCTGCCGGACGTGACGAGCAAGATCAAGGCCTACATCCGCCTGCGGGCGGCCCGGAAGGACCTGGTGCCCGACGGCATCGAGGTGACCACCATGACGGACGGCGAGGTCATCTGGGCCACGACCTTCTACCTGCTGCGGTCGGGCAACGTGAGCGAGGCGGCGCAGTACGTCAACGACAACCTGTCGCACTTCAAGAGCGTCGACCGCAGCTTCCCGACGTACCTCAACAACTACGCCGCGAGCGAGGACCGGCGCCTGACTAACAGGAAGCTGCTGGACCGGTGCACGAGCGAGTACGTGTCGCGCTTCCGCAGCACGTCGTCGGCGGGCCAGGTGGACCCCTACCGCATGGCCTGCTACAAGGTCATCGGCCGGGTGGAGCTGAGCAACCGCAACCTCGAGGGCCTCAAGACGGACATCAACGACTGGATCTGGCTGCAGTTCAACCTGGCGCGCGAGGGCGACCGCACCGTCGAGATGGCGGGCGAGTCGTACGGGTTGGCCGAGCTGCAGTCGAGCATCCGCGAGATCGGGCTCAAGCACTTCCCCCGATCGAACGGCGACGACGGCAGCGGCTCTGGAAACAGCAACGCCGGCGGCGGCGGCGGCAGCGGCGGCGGCAGCGGTGGCGGCGGCGGCGGCGGCGGCGGCGGCGGCGGCGGCAACGGCAGCTTCGGCATGTTCTTCTACCTGCAGGTGCTGTCGGGCCTGTTCGAGGACGCCGTGTCGTACCTGTACGCCTTCTCCTACGTGGACGCGGTGCACTTCGGTCTGGCGCTGACGTACTACGGTCTCCTGCGGCCGAGCGACGCGTCATCCGATTCCAACGACCTGCGCAGCTACAGCACCAAGAGCCAGCCGCAGATAAACTTTGGCCGGATGATCGGCTACTACACGCGCGACTTCCGCGCGGCCGACGTGGTGTCGGCTGTCGACTACCTGACGCTCATCTGCCTGAACCGCGACCTGGGAGGCGAGGCGGGGCGTCGACACGGCGGCCTGTGCCACGAGGCCCTGCGCGAGCTGGTGCTCGAGACGCGCGAGTTCAGCAAGCTCATCGGCGACATCCGGCCCGACGGGCGGCGCATCCGCGGCGTCATCGAGGAGCGCGGCCGGCTCATCGGCCTCGACGACGAGGACGACTTCGTCAAGACCGTCACCCTCCAGGCCGCCAGCTTCGCCGACGAGAACGGCCGGACGACCGACTCGGTCCTGCTGTACCACCTCGCCGGGGAGTACGACACCGTCGTCTCCATCGTCAGCCGCTCCCTCAGCGAGGCCATCTCCCTCGAGATCGGGGAGGACCCCATGCGCCTCATGCCCGTCAAGCCCCGTCAGCTTGCCGGCAACCCCGCCGCCGCAGCGGCAGCAGGGAACGCCGGCGGCAGCAGCCTGAGCCTGGCGTCCATAGACGACCCGGTCGAGCTCGCCCAGACCATGATGGCCATGTACGAGCGCGACGCCATGTTCTACAGCCGCATCGAGGACCAGACAAAGGTTGCTTGCAGGGTGCTTCTCGAGATGAGCAGCATCAAGAGTCTCGTCGAGGCTGGACAGTGGGCCCAATGTCTAGACGTAAGCTTCTTCTCCGCTCTTTTTACTTGCACTTCATCTCTCTCTTCCCTTCTTTCGCTTCCCTCTAGTTTCCTTTCTGTCCTCCCTCTTCTGAGATCGACTCCCGACCCCAACCCCAACCCCGAACCCCCGGCTGCTTGAATACGATATGAATTTGCTAACACACACTCTCTCTCTCTCACACAGAGAATGCGCGGTCTCGAGATCCTTCCCTTGGATGCAGGTGGCGACGCGAGCATGATCCGCGCCTACGCAGCCAAGTTCTCCGGCCTACCGCAGCCTGTATCCATCAATGTGCCCAACCTGCTGCTGTGGACCATCGTGAGCTGCACACGGCAAAGGGCCCAGCTGAGCGACGGCCAGTTCAGCGGCAACGAGGGCACCAGACGAATGATGGCGGATCAGCTCAGACAGATGGCCCTCGACCTCACGACCTACACGAGCCAGCTGAGGTACAGGTTCCCGCCACACCTGCATGAGGCCCTGGCCAGAGCGACAGCAGAGTAGATGCTGTTGGAGAGGAAATATGGGGGGGGGGGGTTTCTATGTCGATGATGAAGAGGAAGAAGACGCATCTTTTTTCCTTTTTTCTTTTTTTTTTTACGATTCTCCCTTCGCCGTCATGAGAAGAGGAAGACAAAAGAGGAAGAAGAAGAAGAAGTGAGATGAGAGAAGGATAATTTTGTTTGTATCAAGGAGTACATTAATTGTTCGAGTATAGAAATCCTCTTGAATGTTCCGGATAATGGATTCCGTGACATGGGGGCTCAGCTGATCCCTGTCGAACCAACACACCCGTCACTTGTCGTCGTCGCTTGTCGTGGCAACTTGTACTGTGACTTCTTATGCGACAGACGTCTGGTTTTTAATTTCATTCAAGTTTATTTCCGCCAGGAGACCGGATGGCCATATGCCAACAACAACAACAACAACCCCCTTTTTATTTTATATTATCCTTCCCTATAATCTGTAGTTGTAGTTATTCCCTCCCTCCTCGTTATTCTTTCTCATCCCGATGGTTAGCCTATCTCTCCCCTATTCAAGATTCAACGCTGGCCTCTATCAGTACGACACTCCACTCCACTCGATAACATTGACGTCTTGAGCTACAGTACAGTACTTACTGCCATAACGATAAAGAACAAGCAAACCCAACAAAAAAAAAAGACGCGGCATTCTGCACTCCTCTCTACTCGTATCTCTCTGAGAAAGCCCCGCGGACGATCACGGCGGGGATTCACGGGTAGAGAAGAAGCCAAGGATACGCAAGAGAAAAGAAGGGGAAAGAAAGATTATAAAAAGAAGAAGGAAAGTAAGAAAGAAGAAAGAACGACGAAAGAAAAGAAGAAAAGAAAGACCCAAAAGAGGGTCCCGGGAAGCAACTCCCGGTTCTCGGAGTGGAAGAAGCGGGGGACCTTTCCGATACGACAACGAGCAATGGGCACAGACTCCGTCAGCGACGGGGCAGAGTTACCCACCGCTGCCGACACCGTGATCCATGATGACGGTGTACAGCAAGGCAGAAAAAGGAAGAGGGCGTACGGGACGACGACGTCGATGGAACGAGGCGTGGCCAGACTGACGCCCGAGCAGCTGGCCAAGAAGCGAGAGAACGGTAAGTACAGACCCCAAACCCCATTGAATATCGGAGTGACAGCAAAGGGGGGCAAAAATGAAGAAGATTGAAAAACAAAGTCGAAAAAAAAATTAAAGAAAAAAAAAAAACAATAATGAGAGAGAGAAGATGAAACAAGACAGATTTCTGACATGGCGACATTGGCATATACATAATATACCATATACATAAATAATAAGACCGCGAAGCACAGCGCAACAATCGAAGACGCACAAAGGCTCAGATCGAGATGCTCCAATGCCAGATCGCCGAGCTGACCAGTCAGGATACCTACCAGGACTTCCTCGCCATGAAGAGGGCCAAGGAGGCCGTGGAGAGGGAGAATGCCGACATCAAGAGTCGTCTCTCCGTCATGATGGGAGATATTCAACGAATTATCGGGACATATTGTGAGCAGATCATATATATATATATATATACCCTTTCTTTTTTTTTTTTCATCTAATCATCAAGCTTACTCGGTCCGTTCTTTTTTTAACCCTCTTTGGCCACACAGCAACCGACAATTATACGCCGGGGCAAGCTCCGACCGTCCCGTCAAGTACATTGACGACCGGGGGCGGCAGTATCATGGCCTTGCCGGGACCCCCCCACCCCCAGAGTGTCGAGCGGCGACGCGACACGGATGCCGTGGGGTCCGAGGAGCGGCCCGGCCTCGGCTTCCTCCTCCGCCGTCCGAGCCAGGGCGGGGCGGCGGACGACCCGGCCGCCTCGCTGCACGCCCGCCCCGTGAGCAACTGCGGGCCGACGTGCCCCCTCGACTCCCTACTGCTCGACTTCCTCAGCGAGCGCCGCCGCCGCTGGGCGGACGGCATGCCGGCGCGCGACGTCGTGGGTCCCGAGTACCCGTGCGTGTCGTCGCTCGTCCGCGCGTCCGAGGGCGCCCGCAGCCACCCCGTCTCGCGCGTGCTGACCGACATCCTGTCCACCTTCCCCGACATCTCGACCCTGCCGGAGCGCGTCGCCGTCCTGTACGTCATGTTCCTCGTCGTCCGGTGGCAGATCGCGCCCACCCGGGACAGCTACCTCCGCCTGCCCTGGTGGATGCGTCCCGGACCCGCGCAGCTCGCCCACCCCCACCCCGCTTGGATAGATCACCTGCCCTTTCCGGCTATGCGGGACATGCTCGTCCGCACATACGGCGGCGACGCCGGCGGCGACGCCGGCAGTATGCACCGCTTCGACGACTTCTTCGTGCCCTTCACCACCACCATCCGTCTCAACTGGCCATACGAGGAGACGGACACGCTCCTGCAGAGATCTGCTTCCTCCCGAGATCGTGACGACGGCAGCGAGGGCGGCGCCGAGGGCGGGGCTGACGACCTTGTCATCAACCCCGTCTTCGAGACGCACCTGCGTGATCACGAGAATTGGTCGCTCGGCGAACCGTTCATCAGGGCGTTTCCCTCGCTGCTGGGGACCTGCAAGATTGATTATTCCCTCAAGGGCGCAAAGGGCAGAGGTTGAGGATGCTCAGGTCAGGTTAGGATTTCCCGTCGTAATTATAGGGTATTCTTTCTATTACAGCGGTATCTCAAGAAAACTTGTTCAGACTGCATAGGCCCCATCTTGCCTGCTTCGCTCGCGATGTCCTGATGGTTCGATGACATTCTTTGATGAAGAACAAAGAGAAGAGGAAGAAGAAGAAAAGTGTCGGCTGATCGTGTTAGCTCTGAGAAATCGGCCGGCCGCAATCCAGTGTGAACAGACTATTCGCGTTAGCGATATCCTCACTAGCCTCGCGGCGATGCATTATCGCCTCGAGGATAGGTCCGGATGTGATAGCTCCTCTGCATCGTCCATGAGCCGCCTGCGCTTGCTGGGGGGGGGGGGGGGGGGGGGGGGGGTGGCCATCACGGGACTGCTGGGCGCCGTCGGGAGGATGGATGCCTGGTCAAAGTCGACAATGGTCCATCTGCCGCCGGGACCTTGCAGCACGTTTGGCAGCCGGATATCACCATGGGCAACCCCGAGGGAATGCATGCGGTCGGCGATCCTGGCGACGGAGCTGCCGATGGATTTCCGTGCAGCAGGTTTGGAAGGAATCTCGAGCTTGGTGCCTCCGTACGACATGAGGAGAAAGTAGACGATGCCCACGCCGATGTCGTAGAATACCGTCATCTCCAGCGGTCGGAGGCCGAGCCGCCCGAGACAGACAGGCACGTGTCGTCCCTGCAGCGCCTCGAGCTTGCGATAGACGGCCTCTTCCTTCTGCAGCGCTGGTATGCGGCTCACGGTGGTCCCCTTGGCTACGAAGCTGTAGCCGTACTCCAGCAGCGTGTTCTGGAACAGGACCCCGCACCCGCCCTGCTTTCGGAGGTTTACCAGACCCTTCACCACGCTCTGGGAGAGCTGCTTCTGGAGGAGTACCATCCATTCCGCATACGAGACAGGATGCTCTCCGTCATCCGAGGATCTCGCGTGCAGCCTGACATTGGGGCATTTGCTGTCCAGCGGCCAGCCATTGATCAGAGATAGGAGGCAGGACGGTGTGCAGTATGGCTTAGGGTTCTTGCATCGTCCGTTCGAGTCCCTTTCTTCCAAGTCGTCGCCGGCGCCGTCGCCGGCGTCGTCTCTGGCGCTGGAATGCCTTGTCCTGCTGCCTCCGGGATTTCCAGCACCTCCTCTTCCCGATTTGGACGCAGATGAACCCTGCTCTCCTGAACCAGAGTTCCAAGTGCCGTCCCTCACCTCTGCTCCGCCGCTGAAGCCTCCGCCATGGGAACCTCCCCCGGAGCCACGGTCACGGTCGTGATCCCCATCAGTCTCCCGTCCACCACCGTCATCATCTCCACCGCACCTGGTACGAGACCGAGTGACGGGCCGGTGTACGACCTCGTCCGGGCCTCTCCTCACCTTCTTCACGGGCCTTGGCTTCCAGTCAGCTCTGCTGGGAGAGAGGCGACGCCTACGACGCGGCAGGGTGCTCGGGCCAGCTGCCTCCTCTCTCCTGAGCTCTTCGCGAGAGATCTCGTCCAGGATGTAGTCAGACCCAACCTCCCACTTTCGGCTTGCCTTGACCGCCGCATTCCGTTCGTCATCGCTGTGCTGCCCGCTATCAAAGGCAAGAAGAGTGAATGCCAGAACCTGAGCCACCGTGTTAGCATAGATGGGGTCTTCATCGGCCTCGACCTCGAGCGAAGATAGAGCAAGGTGGTAGAATAGCTCGGTCGTATTCGTCCAGTCGATCTTCAGGAAGATGACTGCATCGCCGTTGGTGATGTAGCCAAACTCGAGACCTGATTCCAGCATGCAGTGGTACGCCTGGGTTACGGCTGCGCTTGCAAGCAGCTCGGCGTAGTGTTGGAACTTGGCCGGTTCCTCGGTGGGCACTGTCGGCTTGTTGACGACTTGATCGTAAATGTCCATCTCCCGTAGTCCTTTTTCAAGGTGCTGTGTGTGCAGCTTGTGAGGTGCCTTGTACTCGACCACGTATGCAATTTCCGTAGAATCTCCAGAAACACGGTACGCGCAGATCTGGTCTGTCAACAGTTCCTCGTCGCGCACTACCCCAGCCATGACATCTACCACGGCATTGTTAGCGGCTTCTCACCCATGACAGATACACCATCAGTCAATCGTACCTTTGTTGGACGTGTCTTCCTCGTCCCGAAGATCGCTGGCATCTGTCTGGAAGAAGACGTCCGGATACGTATGACGGCCTTGTTGGTCCGCGTAGTTCTTGAGGCTGTGCATAATGACGCGTACCGGTTGCCCGACGCAAGTACTGTCGATCACGGCAAGCCTGGATTCTTTGTTGACAGGCATATCGGCTACCCGGCCGCCGATGGCCCTCAATGCGCTCACATCCTCGAAAAGGCGTGCGTTCTTGGGCACGGTGTCGGAGAGCATCTGTAACATGGCCTTTTGGGTATCGAAGAAAGCTGTCGCCCCACGGTGTGAGTCGCCATGGGCAATGCTTTCCTTTGGGACCTATTGCGGGTGTCCTTGTGGTAAGGTACTTGTTAGTCTTGAGGACAACGTTTGTCAGGACAAGGTCATGACAGGCTCGTAGATATTCCTCGAGCGTTGTGTTTTCAGTTTCGCGCTGGAGCTGGTCATTTTCGCGCTGAATACGGTCATTTTCGCGTGTGAGCTGCTCTATCCGACGCTGAAGATCTTCGTACGAAGACATGATGGTACAGGGGAGCAGAGCAAATGGATGGAACAACGAGTAGAAAATAAGCGCCCCTCCCGCGTTTCACGGACGGGTTGGTGTTCTGGCTAAACGGGGGCTGCCGTCCTCGTAGCGATCTCGCGATGCAGGTTCGTATGAGGGCGTGCAGAGGACGAGCCTGGAGAAGGAAGCCTGACGGCAGATGGATGATTTTTATACCTTGACTACCAGTCCTTCACGCTCACGTGGATAGACTTGTAGTCATCTCTCTCTCTAATCATCAAAGTCATAAGCAAAGAGCAGGGAGCCGAGATGTTTCTGCCCGAAGCGCAAAAGTCTCCAATACAATTGCCATCATTGACTGCATCCCAAGCAACAGGAGCGATGTGGCTCTGCTGATATATACGAGTAGTGATCCTTGGTCACATAGAGAGTGTGGTTCGGTAATTTTTACTGTACGAGTAGGTGCGGAGTATGATACAGCATATCACCAATGTTCCCGAGCCTTGCGAGCACTTCATACAGGTACACTCTGTCAGCGACGTATTAGATGGTAGCAACAATCCGGTCTGAAACAATCTTGGGCATGGTGCTAGGTTACCTGTGGTACAAGCCCATCCGAGAACGATGAAGTAAGAACAAGACGCTCGCCAGAGATGCGTCACGGGGAATGCAGAGACACAGGCAGGTGCCAGCCAGAGTCGGTCAGATCCATCATTCGTCATCCTCCCCCCGTCCAAAGGTATACTTGTCCACGCTGGGCCCCTGGCCGACCCACAGGCTAGGCGACCCATCAGACGACATCTCTGCGAAGCGAAGCGCCTTGACCGGCCCGACCAGCCTGTTCCTCCCAGCCGGCGCCGACGGGCGTCCCCCGCCGTACCTCGCCGGTCGCGCGGGCTCGCGCAGACGGTTCACGGTATCCCGCAGGGCCCTGCAGGGCAGCCTCCTCCCCGAGGAGAGCGAGTACAGAGCCACCGAGCCGTCCTCGTGCGCCGCCGCAGCGACGGGGGGTACCCCGCCAGCGCCGGCGCCGCTCTGCTGCCCCGGAGGCCAGACGTCGAAGCCGACGTGTATCTGTGCCTCGTTGCGATACTCGGGGAACTCGACCAGTGGTCTATCCTGCTGCTGCTGCCGCTGCTGCCGCCGTGAGACGAAGCGCACATCGTAGAGGGCCATGGCATTCCTGGGTCCGCAGGCGACGATCTGGTTCGCCCCCACGGCGCGAAGACGGGCCACGGAGCTGGCGTGCCTGACGGACGCCCACTGGTTGTCTGGGCTGCGCAGGTCGGCCATCCATATCCTCGGGGAGCGGCCGCCGGCAAAGACGACATTTGGGTTCTGGAAGTCGACGTCGAGGATCTCCTTGGGCAGCGCCTGCTCAGGCGCTGCTGCCGCCACGGCGGATCCTACGGATGACATACTCCCGTCCAGCGATACGCTCACGACGCCGGAGTTGGTGGCCAGCACGCACAGGAGGTTGGACGGGGAGGGTGCCGCAGCGCACCCGTTTACCACTGTGTCTCTACGGTTGGAGCGGGTGGAAAGATATTGGTAGGGGTGGTCTGGGTGAAGTTAGATATGCAGGTTAGCAGGACACAAGCTGAAATGATGATGATAAATGAGTGGGTGGGTGGGTGAGTGAGTAAGTGAGTGAGGATGCGAGTGTGTGTGAGTGAGAGCATGAGTAAGTGTGAGTGAGAGAGCGTGAGTAAGTGTGAGCGAGAGTGTGAATGAGTGTGAGCGAGAGTGTGAATGAGTGTGAGCGAGAGTGTGAATGTGTGTGTGTGTGTGTGTGTGTGTGTGTGTTCGATCGAAAGAGAGAGAGAGAGAGGAAACATGCCTTCCATCATCCAAGGCGGCACACACTCGACGTCGTCTCCAAACGGCTTGAGAAGGGACAGCCCGACATGGGCCCGCGGCGCCCTCGACGTGAGAAGCACCCCCCTCGAGGCAGAGTGGTACTCCACGCCCGACATCTGCGGACACCTCACGCGGTCGGCGTACCGGAACGGCAGCCTAGTGCCGTGGACGTCGATGTTTCCATCCTGATCCAGGGGAACGGGGCAAGTGAGCGGTGACGTCTCTTCATGATCGGCTAAGCTGGGAAGTTAGCATATTATTGACAACACACACACACACACATAAGGTTTTTTTTTCTTTCTTTTCTTCCTCTCCTCCCCCCCCCCCCCCCCCCCCCCCGGGCAACAGATGTGTAAAGAGAACTCACGAGCAAAGACCACCCCCGTACCAGGTCCGACCTCCCCGACCCATAGACACGACAGGTTCCCCACCCCGGGCGGATGCGCATCCACCCCGGGTGACCACCTGACGTGACCCCTGTGAACGAGACCGTCGGCCCAGGCCGCCGCGCTCACGACGTCGCTCCAGCTGCCCACGCCACCGCCGCTCATGCTCATGCTCTTGCCCATGCCCATGCCCATGCCCACGCCCATGCCCAGCTCCCTCCCCAGCAGGCTGGGAGGGACGCACGTCTCATCCGCCAGGTTGACATTCCGCCGGACGTGCCGTCTCAGCAGAGCTCGTCTGTCCTCCTGCTCCTTCAGGGCGGAGTCCTCCGTCTTGCGACGTTTCACTGCGCTGGTGGACCATGCTGATGGTGTAGCTGTGCCTGATTTTTCGATTTTGAAGTATTTATTTTTTTGAGAGTCTTTTCAATCGTTAGTCTTTTCCTGTCCTCTCTCTTTTTTTTTATCCTCTTTATTTTGGTCCTTTTTTTTTCTTTGGTACTTTTATCTTTGTCCTTCATTTTTCTTAGTCTTGTCCTCTCTCATCACGTCTATACTCCAGTCTTCGCATGCCTATAAAAAAAAGAAGAAGAAATTTTAGAAAAAAAAAACCCTCACCAAAATAATACCCCGGTATCTCGATGGGTGGCATGATGCAATAGCGTAGCGTCGGCTTGACCACGATTCGGAGTAACCCAAGTAAAAAGTAGAGAATTCAGTAATAACAATGAGAGTTCAATAGAGTGACCAGTCAATCAGAATATCATACAAGCCACCACCCTTGACATGTCAAGCTTCAAAAAGATAGTGTGGAACACTATAAAGTCTCGAGTAAATACGGTGTATTGTTCAGTGACGATTGAGAAA